CTGCATGATCAAGCTATTTACATGCATAATTATGGATATATTTCTCAATATGCATTTCTAAAGATGTTGTATGATAAAACATGTATTTTACATGGATTTGGGGTCATTGATTGAACAGAGAACCGCACTGGAAAATTCAGAGGTGTGCAAAGGAAAAGTTTGTTCTAATCTGCACATATCCCAGGAGCTGCAGATTTGGTTGGTTTGGGAATGAGGACTGCATCAAATATTCATGCATCCCTACTGAGAACACATCTCTGTAAGTAGTGGCCATCCTACATTATTGTGACAGTATTTACAAACTAAAGATGGAGCTACATGTTTACTGAAAACTTCCTTTTCCAGAAATCTCTTTACATTGTCCCTTCCTACTTCCATTGCAAAAGCTCATAAAAACATTCCAGCCACCCATGGCTCCTCTACTTGATCAACCCCTTTGAAAGGGACCCTTTCCAAGCTATCACAGCAAACAATTTCATGGAATAACTAGCTTAACTAAGACACATTCCTTTGCGACAGTGATGTAACATAGCCAAGGGCACATATTGTACCTTTTTAGTAGCACCCATGCTGGTGTCATTTGTCACCAAGACCACTTAGCCTTATGAAAGAGGAGACAGAAGCTGGTAGAGTTAGTTTACCGGTATGGACCAACACACCTTCCTGCATTTTTAGATTCTTCTTGTGCAATGACTATAGTGATGCCATTACACCATGACTACAGGGCTTAGGTCAGCGGTGGCCAACCTCTCTGTTGGCACACGAGCCAAGTCACCCTAGCATCGCCCCAGCAGCCGAGCATTGGATAACAGTGCACATAGGGGCCATGTGCATGCTCGGAAAGGAGTAGTGGCGCCAGCCGATGACATCACGAGCCGTGACTCATTAGCCATAACTCATCTGAGCTTTCGCATGGCCGGTCAGTGTGCTGCCACAGGGCTTTTTTGTCATAGAACGCAGGGGTATGGTGTTCCGGCACCTTTTTTTCAATGGATTTTACGAAGTGATTTTGGCTTAGCAGATCAGCAGCAAACATCATTAACATAGTGCCTGCAGGCTGCTATTGTGTCTGCAATCTGCTATCTGATAGTGAGAGAAAGCTGCTCCGGACACTGCTCTGCTGCTCGGCTTGGGATTGGTGTGTGTGCTTACTGCCGGCGATGACGTGAGTTCCGGCACCTTTTTCTTTTTTTTACAAAAAAAAGCACTGTGTGTGTGTGTGTGTGTGTGTGTGTGTATCTCCTTGGACTGGCTGTGAGGTGTTTTTTCTAAACTAAAACCTCAGTTTTCAGGTTTTATTGTAGTGTTGGCACTTTGCGATAAATAAGTAGGTTTTGGGTTGCAGTTTGGGCACTTGGGTCTCTAAAAGCTTCTCCATCACTGGCTTAGGTCATTCCACGCAACCCTTTCAGTTGGCTTCCAGGATCCTTCCAGTATGGATTTCTGATAGGTAACACATTTATCTGATGTTGAAAAACTTACTTGGAAATGAAAAAAAGTTCAACATGTTTAATGAGTATCTTGTGCCCCAAACCCACATGTCCCCCGTCAACCATTTTCTGAAAATGCCATTCTCCTTTATTCAACCTAGAGCTTTCATTATGACAAAAGAGAAAGGTATTCATTTTTTAGAACCAGTTTTGAGGGAATGAGGGGGAAAAAACAAAAATCCAGTAATTACTAGGCATACCTCAATAACACATAGAATTTATCTCTTAAACTAATTGTCAGAGTCATTATCCTGAGTCGTGAAGTGGAGCACTGGATGAAATCCATAAATAAAAGGATGTGTCATTAAGTCGTTCAAATTCGTATCATTTGAAATGCTCAGTACCTCGGCCTGGTCCTGCCAGAGCTTATGCTTTGTTCCCACAGAGACAACTTAATAGGCTCATTACATTAGCATTCTTGAAGGCAAGAAACTCAAAGCATTTTAGTTAATTCTCTGCCAGATGCAGGAAACCTGGAATCTTAAAACCTTTAGCTTAAAATAACTTCTTTTCTTAAGGGCCTCACTGCTTTTTCTTTCACAAACCTTCAAAGCCTCTCACAGCGGTTCCTGACAGAATTTATAGGAATACAATAGTATGCCAATTAAATAAAGTCATCTGACTGCTAATATTATGTCTCCAAAATGTCTTCATTATTAATGGGAAGCCCTGTTGTGAGGCAACATGCCAGAGGAATAAATGAAACAGAAAAGTGACCCACTTTTGTTAGATCTTGCACTTGTCCAACGTTTTCCTACCATACAAAATGAGGTGGTCTCCACTTAATGCAACCATATCAAATCAGGCCCATATTAGCAATTGGAAAAAAAAACTTTAGAGGTTGCCAAGCAAGAAAACCATGTAGTTGATACACATTTATGCACAGCTCACATTTCATAAATTGGACATCAGCTGTCACTTCACTCATTAACCACAGCACATTTCCCCACAACACACAAATCTCCTAAGCCTAGAGTGTTCCCATATATTGACAGACATGAAAATGCTTCATGTGGTCTTCCCTAAACGGCCACAGCTTCATATTCCCAGCGATTATCTCTGTCTGTAACCCACAGCTCAAATATCCTTCTTACTCCATGTTCCTGTTTCCCCTTTATATTATGCTCATTGGTCTCAGTAGACTGGGCACTTTCTCAGTAAGCAGATAGTGTTGCTTCTTTGCCTGCACAATGCCTGCTGCAATCAGAGGCTGAAGCAGCAGTAGTTGTGGCTACTGACTGCCTGGCTTAAAGGGTCTCCACCGTAAGGTGGGCATGCTCAGCATCTTGCGGGCACTCTCCCATGGCAGGCATGGCCGCTCATAAATAACTTGCTTCCTAAAAGGCGAACTGCTGAAACAGAAAGAGAAGGAACCTGTCCAGGAACCCAGTACAAGGCAGAGGTGGGGTCTGAGCTTCAAGACACGAACACTGGCACTGGAGCTGGATCTGCCTGGACACGCTTGGCAGAGGATCAGTGAAGAAAAGCTCTGGATGAACTGACTTCAACAAGAACATCGCTGGCCAAGCAGTGCTAAGCTAGTTTACCAGCACAATAACAGACTGGAAACTGCAGGCACCAGAAGATCTGCTGTGTGTAAATGTTGTAGATTCCCTGGCAATATATGCCATTCACTAAATTAAAAAAAAATGTGCAGATACTGGATACTGGCTGAGCAATTTTCACTTCTGCTCCAGTTTTCATGTTTTTCATTACTTCTATTCACTGTCAAGGCTTGTACCCCAAAATATACATCTAAAAAAAGTGTGCAGGAAGTTTCTAAGCATAGATTGAGCTCCGGAGTGTTGATGCAGGGTAAGTGTTTACTGCTAAGTAGAAAACATGTTATGATTTTATATGAAATCCACTAATTCTTTAAACAGATATTCTGTTTTAGAATAGAACTATTTTAGATTTAGGCTAGAGAAGAAGGAAAAATCAAGTCTGCCTTCTGAGGAATTCAAATACCTGAGAGAAGCAGGTAGTAGAAAGAAGGGCTTTTCAGTGTTGGCACCCTCATTGTGGATTGAACTCCCCAGAGAGGATTACCTTGTAACTACATTGTGATCTTGGAGGACCTATGACCAGGCTGTTGACCTCTTCAATCTTAAAAATGTGTCAATATGGTTTTAGATTTCTACATGGCTGGTAGCTTTTATGTTGGTTACTACATGGGTTTCATTCTGCTTTAAACCTATCAACTTTTATCACGTTTTCCTAAGTTATTGTAATTTATGATTTCAAGCTTTGTCTTGTAAGCCATACAGAGAGCTTTGACTAATGAGAAATATATACATGTAATAAATAATAAATCAAAAACCTCCCAGACTTTCACTGGATATGACCTGTTGAACTTTCCACTGTTTCTTGAATTGCTCTGTGAATTAAGTTGAAGGTACCTCTACTGTGATATAGTGAGATCAATCTCCATTTCTGTCATACTACTGGTTTTTCCCATGGCTTTTGGCTTGCAGCTTCTAGCTCACTTCAGACCACTATCCATGATTCAGCCTTGGCACCTTCAAACAGATGTACGTGGCAACAAGTTCAACAACAATGGCAAGTTCTAAGATAGATACACACACACGAGCACACACATTATTTGTCACCCAAATTTCACCCAAGTACCTACATAACCAGATCCACTAAATTTCGCATCACTATTTACTAGTTTGACAGAATCTGCTAAATGACAGAATGAAACAGTTTGTTATAATCAATAGTCAATCATACAGTTTTAAATTTTACTATCCATATTATTCTGTGTTTAGTTTTATCTCTTGCTCTAGGACAACCATCTCTCACACTCCTCCCAATTCCCATTTATAGCATTCACAACACCAACTCTGTCACTTCATATCAAGTGAAAGGACATTTTTAACATTCTCCAGAACACTGTCTAATATCATATCTATGAAATATTTGCCTGCCTATCATCTTACCTATTGAATGTCAGACCAGCACATTTCAAGCTGTATCTTGAGATGCTGGGATCTGGCAAGAATGGCACCATGTTCTTCTCATAGAAAGAAGGAATAAAAGAGCCTGCAATGGTTTTGTTCAGGACCAGCTAAGTGTGACACATATTTGTGTGTGTCTCCACCTTGACTCTTTTGTGTTAGAAGAAATGCAGCCTCTGGAGGCTGTGAATGCAAGCAGATGAATGGATGGCCATTCCATACTTTTACTCACCTCCAAACTGCTTTTCCATCCAGGGGTACACCATGTAAGGAGAAAGGCAGTTGGAAAGCAATTTCGAGCTGAAGGAGAAAGGCTCAAAGGCTCATCATTCTCACCTTCCATTTGGTTCACTCTGGTTCAGTGGAATGTCCAGCCTGTGAGCCACATGGGGCCTGCCTGGAGTCCCAAGCAGGTCTGGGGCCTCCCCTCTTGCCACCCATCACCAGCAATTAGGCTTGTTTTTAAAGGGCTTGTGAAGGTGCCAGTGGAAAGTTTATCCAAGCTGAACTGGCATGGATATGGGAGGGTGACTGCGATGGGTATCATTTTCCTGCTGGAGTGGAAGGCATTTAACCTTATGGCTGCAATCCTATCCATACTTATCTGGGAGTCAATAAGCTTACTTCTGCCTGCAGTGTCACAAATGTTTAAGCACTAGCATAATTCGGTTTTATCAATGTTACAGGATTGATTTGTAAAGTAAAATTGCAAGTATTCTGACTAAAACTGTCATTTCCACCAGAAGAAAATAATCTAGCAAAATTCTGGCCAATGGAAATGTTTTAAAACAGGACTGCATCTAAAAGAGCTGAGTTGCACAAATTTCAGCAATACATTAGCTTGTGCTACTGCCATCTTCATTTATTTCCTCAGTTGGAGGAGAAATTGGGTTCCATGCAAAAGGAAAATAGCAGGAAATAAAAGTAACAATACTACTACTAATAATAGGACCAAATTAAAGTATGGGAATACTGGCATAAAAATTGCACCATGGGATGTAAGCAGGCTAGTACAAATAGTCTAATGATCAGATATTCAATACTGCTTATAGCATAATATATTCTTCATTTTTGCATTGTTACAATAGTGGGGCTATTGGCACTATGGAAAAAAAGTTCAATACCATCATTGTACTTTGACTTCAAATAGTTGTTTTATTTTTTCTGGTGTTCAAGGAAGAGTTTTCTATTCAGTCTCGCAAAATCAAATATAACATGGGAGATGCCAATTCTTAGGTAACAAATGTAAATATCTGGGAATCCATACAACAAAGAGCTTTGTTTTAGTGACACTAATTAGCAATTAGAGAGAATTAGATTGGTATTCATAATAATACATTAATCATATACAAAGCTTTACAAAGAAATATTGGCTGCTTACTTGCTGTTTACAAACCCTGGGATGGGGGTTGTGGGGAGACAGCATGCATGACATCTACAAGTATTTCTTCTAAATGGTATTAGGGAAGAGGATGAAGACGAGATGTTTGCAATTATGACCCTCCCCCAGATTTGCTTTACAAATTATCTGGAATTAGGATTTCAGGCCACTAGGACAGCAACATCCAGGAGTCTGACAGACTCATTTCAGATCTACGATCCTGCAATCTGCACCGCACCCTCCCCTTCCAAGTAGCAGTGGTAACCCCCAGAAGAAAAGTGTCTGGCTAGGTTCAAGGAACAGTACACTGAAGACTCATCCCACAGGTTATGGAACTGAATTGATCAGAGAGCAGGTCACCAGAAGTCTAGGGGTGGTAGCAGAGAGTTCAAAAAAGGTGGGGCATTGCACTAGAATTTGCATAAGTCATAGCTACAGAGGTGAACCATCTGCCCTTAGGCAATTATTAGACTTGTTCTTGCTGTTTCTTGTGTGTCAGCCAGATAAATTTCTCTAATGAAGAAGCAGCCAGACAGCTATGCATCTTGCTGTTGCTGCTCTCTAGGATTGGAGGGACTATCAAGGTCAAATAATCCCACTTTTTAGATAGGACACTGAACTCTTTCTCCAGGATGTTTACCACCGACTTGGATAGATTAGGCTGGTACTGTGGCCCTTCCTCCCCAGGCCCTGGCAAAGCCACACAGTGGAGAAGAGAGAGAGAGAAATCCAAGGTGCCTTTGCTATTGATACGGTTTACTTGTGAGGTGTGCAGCTGTCCTTCAAGGAAAGCTCACTTGGCGGGACAGACACAAGTCAAATACACATCCTCCTAGGGGAGGATCCTGCATACTTTCCTCTTTAAATAGATAGGGCATAATTTAAGAAGTGGAAAGAGGATTTGTGAATGAAGGTAGGCTCAATAGGACAAGCTCATATGGGAAATCAGTTCCCCTGGGGGCCTCTTTATTTGTGAATATTATTTGTCTGGTGAGATGGAATTTAGGGTTATCCTTTGGATAAGAACATGAATTCTCTTTGAGGGCAGCCCAAGAACAGTGAGGAAGTGTGTGCAAATAATTTCATCTTATGTAAAGTTGTAAGTATCCTTTACTTATTACTGACTTAAGGCCCAATCCTATACAAGTTCACACAGGAACAAAGCCTACACCCTTGCCTCGGTAAACTTGGAGTCTCAGCATTTTTCCCTGCCCAAAGTTACATAGGATTGCACTCTTAAACCAGATGACAGCAGCTGGCTGATTTTCACTTCAGTCAGCAGCCTGCAATTACTCTTTAATTAGAATACAGAAATAGAAAGCTCTAGAGAATGTTGTTAGAAAAAGGGAATACAGTGCTGCTAATCCAGGGATACCTACATGATTGTTTTAACTGGCAACACTGCCATTATGAAGAATCAGCACAAGTCCTCAAGACAGAGAGATCACACTCAAAGATTTACTTCTGATTACACAAACATACAGCCCAACCAAAAGGCTTGCTAAGCAAAACAGTAATCTCTTACGCTATCTAAACAGTTCAGATAGAATTTTTACCTTGAGAGTGTTTAATGAATGTTGCTAAAGTAAGAGAGTATAAGCAATGAAGATAAGAGTCCCTCTTGATAGATGAAACATGAATGAAATCTCCAGTTCAACCAAAGGGATATATCTTTTCATAAGAATTATCTAAATGTCAAAGTATAAGACCTCAAATAAATGTACAAAAATGCCAAGTTTATTATAAGTTTCCTATCCCTCATTGCTGTGAATTGCAGAATTTGACTGAGGTCTGAGAGATGAGATAGTCCAACTCCCTGCTCATCAAAAGCTACAGCATCCCTGGAGGATGGCCCTGTGCTTAAATGCCTCCAGTGGCAGAGAACCAACCACCTCCCAGTGCTAACGGTTCCACTGTTGTTGAATCTTACTGTCTCAAAGTTATTCCTACAGTTTAACTAGAATCAGTTTCCCCAAAATTTCCACCCACTGGTTCTTGTCCTGCTCTCTGGAGCAAGAGAGAACAAATCTGCTCCATCTTCTGCATGACAGCCTTTTCAGCTATTTCAAAATTACTTTCGCGTCTCCTCTTTAATAATCTCTTCCTCAAATTAAATACATTCTCTTTAAATGTTCCTCTCAGAACTTGAAATATGTGAGTTCACAAAAACACAATACACTTGGTGGCCAAAAATCAACCCTGATCTGCCCATGTGTATTAGTGTCCTTTAAACCCATTATTATTTACAGAAAGTTGATCTAGCCAATTTTAATTAAATATTTCAGTATAATTTCATATTTCCAAAATCAGTGAAGAATATGAAAGCCTTTATTTTTTGAATGGTCCTTCTCCACTTTATATTCTGTATTAAAATATCCATAAATGATGGGCATCAGGCTGAAGATGAAGTCCCCTGAACTTGAACTGGGCTGCTGTCCCAAACCAACCAAAGAGTGTTTGCTACTCTTACGTGGGCTTTTGTTTCTTGTACAAAGAAGCAAACTAGCCATTTCACACACACCCTGCAAAAAAGATTTCTGACTATTGGCCACCATGATGAAATACAGAATACACAGAATGCATTTTTTTTTAAATGTGCATGCTGTTGTATCTTTCAGGACAAAGGATGAATGTTGGATAAGATTATGGGGGAGAGAGAAGAGAGAAAGACAAAAAGTGAAGGACAAAATATACCAGCAAAACATACAAAATATATTTGTGGAGGCATTTCAACTCTGAAATGGAAAAAAATCTGCACAAAAGTCAGGAAACCATCAAACAATCTGTGGTTGGGGAGAAAGAGGATGCTGTGATCAAGTGGAACAGACACCACTGGTGGGTAAAATTGCTCTTCCACACCCCCCACAACAGGTCCAGAGGCTTGGAGGGCCTTCCACAGTAGACCTGGGGAGCTGTGGGGCTAGGCTGGACCACTCTACTGCAATGTCCTGTCCAGTTGCAAGTACAGCCCTGGTGCCAAATAAGCACTACAGAGAAATAGTAGCCTAGAAAATAAAAGCAGTGAAGGATAATAATACCAGCCGAGATATTATGTAAACTAAATGCAATCTCACTTGCATGGCTACACAATGTGAGTTATATTTCTTGCAGAGGGTGAGGGAAGCTATAGTTCTAGCCAAATTGGGTAATTTCATTAAGGCCTTGTCATCTCTGTCAAGATCATGCCATTGGCAGAAGTACTTTTTCAGAGGATGTAACCTTCAAATGGAAGTGACAAAAACTTTGAAGCACAGGGGATTTCAAAAATCTCAGCCAAGGAAATGGACTCTGGAGCCAGCAGCTAGAAGTGCTTCTTCCTTTGTAATATCAGAACGAGCAAACAAGGAGCAGTGTCTGTAGCCTTATCACTGAAAGCAGCATTCTAGCCACTCAAGGGGCTTAATATGCCTTTCTTAAATGAATTCCTGCGGGATAATTTCCTGTAGGTTGGGACCGCATTGTATTGTGCGAGCTGAAGGATTCTATTAAACCTTCCGAGCATTTTGTAAAATGTGAAAATATAGTTTACGAAAGAGATAACCATGGCAGCAGCAGTGAATTAGTCCAATACTGCTGACGATCGCCATTCTCGTGGATTCCATACAAAGGATTTCTCTAGTTAGGGTATACTGCCATTTACTAAGTTCCAAACTCAATTTACCCTCCAGCTGCAAGTCAGCAGACTTTAGTGTAAAACATGGGCCAGAAATTAGTTCCGCTAAGGGCTGCATTTCAAGACCAGACCAAAGCGATTTGTAAAGAACAACTAAATACAAATCATTATTTACCCTGTAGCTTTCCCGTGGGAGCCTGGTATTGCTGGGCTTTTGTCTGTAATGCTTATGATGGCCTACCTTCTGTATAAATTGTTTCCGCTATGCTGAGTCCTGCATTTAGCATGCCATAACGTTTATATCTATCTCTAAAGTGATGCTTTGTTAACAATCTTGCAAAGTTGTTTGCTTATTTTGTATTGACTATCCAGGAGTGAAGGCTAAATATATTTACATGTATCCCACACTAATCTCAATAGAAAATATTTCAGGTGAATGTGTATAGGATTACAGCCTTATACCTCCTTTTGAAATTGTGACATGCTTTTTTTGGGGGGGAGGGGATATAAACCAGAGCAAAATGACCCAATCACTCTTTGAATTTGGAGTAGTCCTGATGAATTGCTATGGGACAGCCATGGAGTGAGTGAAGCTGGCTGTCACTCTTGATGAGCATCTCAAGGCATCAGGACTTGAGGAGAAGGAGAAGGAAAACATGAAGAAGATGGATGGGAGTTCTGGGAACCCAGGGAGAGGCACAGGCCTTTTTTCAGCTGTGGTGTGGCTGCCATGCCCAGGACAGCTTCCCAAATGGCCAAATGCACGCTGAGGGCTATATTCACTCTAGTGCAAGGTAGGCACGATCCCATATATGAATGTTGGACTCTTACTATGCATGTGTGCCTCTTCAGGTTCAACCCACTCTCCTGTTCTGCTCTAACCATGATAATTTTTTCTCAAGTCATACAAACAAACAAGTAAAATGCTTTTGGTAATTATGATAATAACCTCCATTCCCATCATCCATTTATTTGTATGCAGCTTTTCCACAAGACTATGCCCGCTGTGGCTTACAACAGCAACAATAAACAAATATTTAAAAAATCAAACAACATAATAGCAAGAATTACAATTGCCCAGTGTGTCCGTAATTAAGTGCATAATAACAAACACCAATCATTCCATACAACACTGAATTAAACAATTCAAATAAACTGACCTAATCCCGTATCTTAGAACTAAGCAAGAGTAAAACAATTACTCACCGGTATACTCTTTAACTGTACTAGCCAATCACTGCTAATTCAAACATGTGGAAATAGAAACCCTGAATAATTTCAACTCTGACAAAACCCACTGGTGACCTTATATTTAAAATTATCTTGATTATTTTAGTTATTCTCTCATTTTCCTTCCGTGTACTCATCCAGTTTAACAGCATGCACTTGTCAGATTAATTAGAGCAGACAAAATGACACCCTTAAGATTATACTGTAGTGTTTTATGGAAGTTTAGTTGCTTTATTCTTCCAAGGTAAACAGGGTTTAACAAGACATCTTGTGATAGGATTTTTTAAAAACAGTAATATGGTTTAATTATATTAGTATAGTTTGCATATATACCTTGCTTTTGGATCTATTTGTGGCAGAATGCCATATAGGCATTTTTAAATAAATCAGTATTCTGCCTGTAAAGAAAGTACTAAGTATTTGCTACCTTGAGTAGCTGATCATTAGATCGAATGCTGAACTTGCAACACTAGTGCAGATTTCACTGTGCTGGAACACACGTTCAGAGTATCACAGGTCTGCCTTCTCCATCTCCCAACCAGAGCTGGAGTGAAGTTCAGAAGCAGAAAGTCCCATATCGCACATGTGACGAAACAGGCCTTGTGAGCAAAACCTTGGAAGGCAACACGGACCACAACACCAGCACTACAAGTCACAGAGTAGTTTTCAATATATGCACTCTGTCTGTAACACACATATTCCGACAACATCAGGATATTTTTATGTTTTCCCCACATTTCAGGAATAAGTAATGCTGTTCCTTTTTCCAAAGGTTAAAAAAAACCCAAGCAAGCAAACAAATCAGTCTCAACATCAAGATGTTGTGTATAGCCATACCTCATGATAATTCTTGCTTAACCATTCCTTGATTGTAGTGAGTGCAATGCTTGCAGCGGGCTCGTTTGGAAAACCTGAGCAAATAAAGAAATGGAAAGAAGAAACAGTTTTGTGTACATATGCATTTACATCTCATTTCAACATCACTGTGTGACATGGCACGAATATTTTAGGATAGATGCTGACATCAGAATGGGTAACTCTTCCTAACTAAGGCTTAACTAAAAGGGTGAGTCAACCATCTGTGTACTGTTTAGACACCAAGTGAATTGGAACGGCATTAACCTTGCTGTCGTAGAAAAGGCAGTTGCAGCTACAGTCCTGCACGCTGGGAATAGGCAACATGGTGCTTATGAGCACCAGCAAGCCTTCACACACCTTTCTTAGTGCCAGCCTCCTCCCACTTTACAAAGCAGTGAACAACACATGTTGAAAATGAAAAGGAGTGGTGTACTCAGATCCCCACCTTTGCCTTCAAATGTGGGTCGATTTAGTTGCTTTTTCTGACTAGCCACACCTCCTATGCTGCCCACTTTAGCAGTGATTCTATAACAGTTTCTCGGGTTGCCAAATGCACCCATGGACCCAAAGAGGTTGCTGGCCCCTGCGATACCTATTTGCCTGGAAGCAAGCCCTACTCAGTGGGCTTACTTCTGTGAAGACATGCACAGGACTGGGCAGCGGATGAATTAAACCCATGTTTTCCATCAAAGGGGACAGGAAGCCATGAGATAACAGGTGATGTGTTCAAAGAGGCTGGACTACCTGTTCTAAGGAATAAAACCTCTCTTTCATTTTCTTTAATCTTTGGCTTCAAGAAGGACAACTAGAGACTATAAAGCCAGGAGGACATGATCCTATTTCTCTCTCGTCAATGGTCAAGCCTTGCGTGGTCCAATTCTGTCCTAGGTATATGCAAGCTTCATGATTTTACATGGAAATGGAACGGGTGTATCCTTTAAATTTTTAAAGTTTAAAAAATATAGCTGCATATTCAATGCCAACCATTTACATACAATAGTCTTTATATTATTTTATTGTGAAATTTCAACAAAAAAGGAAAAATGTGGCTCCTATAGACATTTAAATTAATGCCATAACCCCTTTAGCTATGATTTCTGCTGCCTACTCTCTGTTCCGCTGAGCTTTGGTTCTGTGGCTGCTTCATGACAAATTAGAATGAACAGTATGCATGGCAACAGTATTTCAGTCAACTAAACTATATGAATGTTTATGCATAGATTATTTGTAAAATAAACATTTTTCTTCTGGCAAGAATAATTCACCTTTAAAATTCAAATGGGTTCATCTTAGTGCCCTTGCTGGATGCTGTGAAAAAGCAATATATGCACTCACATCCCTATGTGCACACACAGTAATCATATTGTTTGTTTGTTCAACTACATGGAAGCTATTTACAAAAGTCTCAATAAAATAAATACAAAGCCAATGATCTTGTATACTATTTCAATGGGGAAAAACAAAGAAAGGCAGATCTGGTTTTTTGTAATTCAGTTGTGCTCCACCAAGTATTTCAATAAAAACTAATACAGAAATACTTTGGAGGATAGAAACAGCGTTTTTGGAAACATGTTTGGCCTTAGAAAATCCGGTGATACAGAAACCAATAAAAATGCTGCCTCCCAATGCCGCAACTATCCCATGTGCTACACATTTTCAAGCGGGAGAAAGATCCTGAATGGCCTCATGCTGCACATGGGCACGACTTCCAATTTGTTCAGTGGCCACTGTGCTGCTTGGGAGCACATCTCAAGTTCCTGTCAGAAGACCTCTGCAATCTTCTAGGTGCCAAGGTACGGCTTATGGGCATGGCAGGATAATGCGATATAACACTCTGCTTGAAAAGTACATGCAAGTGAAGGACAATGCAGAAGCAGGAGTGGAAGAGAAAGATGCCTTAGATCATCTCAGACCATTGGTCCTTCCAGTTCAGCATTTGCTTCAACGGAAATGGGCAGTGCCTCACCAGGTTTTCAGACAAGGGTCTTTCTGAGTCCCATCTGGCAATGGCAAGGACTGAACATGGGGCCTTTCACATTCAAAGCAGCTGTCCTACCACTGAGCTATGGTCCTTCCTGGAATAGTACAGTTGCTACCTCCCGGTCCACCCCTCCGCCGCCCAGTCAACTCTCTCTGGGTCTGCCTTTCCTTCTTGTTCTCTCACATTCAACAGAAAGGTAAGAAGCAGTGCCATTTTCAGGTAGTGATTGGCCCATCTGAACCTCATTCATATATTAAAAGGAGCAGGGAGGAGAGCTGGTAAAACATGCAAGGGCTACATTAGCACAAGTAATGCAAATGGAATTGGGGAAAGCTCTTTACAGACAAGATACGAGTGATGTGAGCAAAAGCACAGAGCCTGTTCTCCAACCCTTTTGTTGTTTTGTTTTTATCCTGGAGTTGTGTTATCACTTATAATCACATGGGTCTGTTCCCTTCCACTATGGCCTTCAGCCGAAAACCAATCTTCATAAGCACGTGGGAATCAAATTACTTGAATGAAATGAGCTCGAGGAGTCTCACAGGTAACCAATTGCTGGAGAAGCCGCTCAGACAATTCTGGCTAAAGGCTCAATTTCACAAAAGATAAAACAGGTAAAGGTAATAAGAGTGACACTGGCCTATGCTGCTGCAGTGAGCATGCCTTCAGAATACTGAAAAGGACAAGGGCACAAAAAGCCAAGGGTGCGTTAGCCAGCAGATAGAGGCAAGCGACACAACAACTTAAGAGAAATCCACCTGACAAATTTGCTATTGCAGGGGAAAACAGGTTATTTATACCTACCTATGTATTTCTTTGAGGAATGCAGCCTTCCAGCCTTAATTAAGAGCACATCCTCTCCAATTCTCACAAAGCAATCAATAAAATTGATGAAGTGAGTCTTTATACTAACATACTCCTGATGCTTCTTGTACAGGTCACAAGAAAGAGAACTGCTCTACACGAGGCATTCATGGAGTGTTTGTCTTTCCCTACTTGTGGCTGTTTACAAGTTCTTTAGAGGACATCATGACTCTCTAATTTCACTTCTGTTTTTAAAGAGCACCTTTAACAAGTATTTCAGAAGGACTAATGGAATATTCTTTCTGAAAATGGGAAAAAACCCACCCCAGACGACCACTTATTCCATTTGTGTAGTAGCACTATTATGTTATACTGCATCGCCATCTACAGGTTATGGAACAGAAAAGTAGCAAAACAAACCCTCTTTGTGCAGTGCTTGAAACTGAGTTCTGTAACCAAACCAAAAAGGTACTTCTACTATGTGCTTTTCTACACAAGGCTGCTAATTGGTGTAAAAAAAACCCCACTGTAGAAGTCTCATTCCACAACGGCATTTGCCTCACTCCGGCTATATTAATAAAAGTAGTTGCTCTTAGTGACCGTAGCAGTATATGGCATGGTGCCCTGCCTCCAACCCCCACATGTTGCTGTTTGCACAGGATTTAGGTCTAGCTGCAAACAAGGCGAATGTAGATCATTTCCAGCAGGGGTGTTGTACCTTTCAGTCAGAGGGCCAAATCCCATTTCAGAGAAATTTTTGCAAGCTGCGTGTCAATAATGGGGCACAAAGGGGATGTAGCAAAATATGAATCATTCCAGCTCAAATTAGCTTAAAATTTTTACTGCCAGCAACTGTAAGAGACAGATTGCAGACTTTTAGAAGGAGAATAAAACTACTGTAATGCTGGGAAGCCACCAAATTATCAGTAGCTGGGGAGCAGTAAGCAGGATTGGGTAAGCAGCATGGCTGTCTGCAGAACAGGAGTGGGGGAAGTCTGGGCAGGAGAAGAACTGGATCTAATCCCTAGACCTAAGTTTCTGCACCCCAGTGTGTCTAGGCATGGGAGGAGGGGGTGGGGCTGACAAGAATGATCCCAACTTCCCCCAATTTGTACGTTAATATACACGTCATCCACAGAAAGTTAAAGCCCTTTACTCTCCTCTGGTACATTCATAGTTGCTCCACAGCGTTCCTTCCTCTAAGCAGATGTGTTGGGGTTTCTGAGAAACAGAATTTAGACGTATGCTGGAACAGACCAAGGGTTCACCAGATGCAGACTTCTGTTCATGCTGTGGCCAACCAACCTTCTGTGGGAAACCCATAAGCAAGACACGAGCGAAACAGCACCCCACCCATGCACCCCTGCAACCAGTGACCATAGGCATACAGCCTCTGATACCAGAAGTAGCCCATTCATCAGGACCAGTAGCCACTGATAGCCTTCTCCTCCATGAATTTGCCCAGTCCCACTTTAAAGCCCCATTGGTGAGGACATTCAAGAATAGGCTGGAGATGCTCATGGTAGGTATTTCATGAATGGAGCTGGCTGGAGCCAGGGGTCAGAGCAGATGGCCCAGGAAGTCCCTTCTGACTCACTCTGTTACTATGTTTCTAAAGCCATCCAAAGTTGTGGCCATCACTGCATCCTGTAGAGTGTTGTGTGAAGCGCTTCCTTTATCTGCTCTGAATCTCCCAGCAATCACCTTCATGGAATGACCCCAGGGTCTAATTTTAGAAAAGAGGCATATTGTGTTATGAGCATGAAGCAGGGCAGCATTTAATTTAGTCTTAAAAGGACTAATTTAAAAGCACAGTATGTGGAAAGCAAAGAGTGTAACTTCTCCAGTCCTCAACAAGTTAAAGTGGCAAAACTGCTTTAGGTTTGAGTTATTTTTAGGTTGCATAGAAAAGCGATGGTCTCTTGCACGTCACAATCCCACCACGCTCTTGGGATCAGTTGTAAGAATTCTTGCTTGTTTTATCATCAGTTAATACACCCACCAAAAAAGCCATTAACAGATATTCAGGCACTGTATGGTTCACATTTCACATGATGCACTTCAAGAAAATGGAAACAGGCTATTTCTGCAAGCGTAGAAGATTAAATGGGAAAAATGCCAGGAAAGAGATTCACTCCAATGCATTTTAATGACTGCACAATAGAAGAATGGCATTCTTAGGCACTTTTAACTGTGAAATCTAGTGTTGCCTGAAAGCCTATCTACAGTAGTAAACAGGTATGGATTGGTGTTTGCTAACATAATCCA